ATAAATCAGATTTCTCTTTTTTACATTGTAAACCAAAAATAAATTCTAAGCCCCCAACCAACTGAATGGACCTCCCTTTCAGCCAAGGGAATTCCAAAGTAAACCTGAAAAACTAGTTCAGGCCATGATGGGAAGTGGGAGGGTCGGATGTGCCTCATGATACCCTCCTCCCTTTGGAGTTTAGGCACAACTGACCAGCATTAACATTAAAATGGAGCTCTTAAGACTGACAAAGCAGACTCTTTGTAGCAAATAAGAAACTAAATTCCAACTTGACTCTAGTATAGCATCACATTGACAAATAGCAGGCCGTGAAAGAAATCAAAGTATTTTATCCCAAAACATATTTCTTTGATATATTTTGAAATGGCCCTATTGTGAGGAAAATCTACTTTCTGTAGCGAATCCCCTTCTCTTTCCAGGTCTTTTCCTGATCCAGGAACTTAATTAACTAAGACTATAGCACTTTTTAAAGTTTGGTAAGGGACATTTACCATCTAATTTGTCTGAAGCCTGCTACCTGGAGGCTTCATCTGCATAATAAGAACCTTGGTCTCTACAACCCTTTACCCTAACCCAGATGCTCCTTTCTACTGATACTGGGTCTTTAGATAACAACTTAACTCTTTCAACCAATTTGCAATCACAAAACCTATGAATCCATCTATGGATTCCTTGGGCACATGTTCTCAGGACCTCTTGAGACTGTGCCTTGGGCCTTGGTCACTCATATTTGGCTCAGAATAAATCTCTTCAAATATTTTACAGAGTTTGACTCTTTTGTCAACATCATTGATCCATATTCAGTACAACTTTAATACAACTAATAAAGGAGGAGACCACCCCTCATATTGTCTTATGCCCAATTTCTGCCTCCAAAGAAAGAAAAAGTAAAAACTAAAAGGCAGAAATGAAATCCACAAGCAGACAGCCCGGCACCACACCCTGGGCCTGGTAGTTAAAGATCGACCCCTGACCTAATCAGTTATGTTATCTATAGATTACAGACATTGTATAGAAATGCACTGTGAAAATCCCTATCCTGTTTTGTTCCGATCTAATTACCAGTGCATGCAGCCCCCAGTCACGTACCTCCTGCTTGCTCAATCAATCATGACCCTCTCACATGTACCCCCTTAGAGTTGTGAGTCCTTAAAAGGGACAGGAATTGCTTACTCAGAGAGCTCGGCTCTTGAGACAGGAGTCTTGCCGATGCCCCCAGTCGAATAAACCCCTTCCTTCTTTAACTCGGTGTCTGAGGAGTTTTGTCTGCGGCTCGTCCTGCTACACTACAATTAGATCTCTATATAGTTGCAGCATACCAAGAGAGCCATCTGCTAAGGTGCAGGCAATAAAGGAATGCAAGTAGAATATTTAGAAACAATTGAGATACTGACGGACAATGGCCATATCTTATACAAATGGACAGTGGTCCGATCATATAGGACAACAGAATCCTGACCCACAATCTCTGCCAAGAATGGTCAGGACTTGGTCAGTGACTGCCAGCCTCCCTAGTTTTTGCCTCCACTTTCAACTCAGGACCAACCAGAGAAAGGCAAATATGCTCCCCAAATCAATCACGTAAGATGCCCCATTTCTAATTATCCCACCTCCAGCTTCCCCATGCTGGCAACCTCTAATCAGAGCATACGCGGAGCCTTTTTTATCCTACCATAAATCTTTCCTACTCCTCTGCCCACCTTGGAGTCTCTGCAGGTGATGGTGGCTGACTCCCTTGCTCTGAATAAAGAGCTTCTGTTTGTTTTCTTTTGGGTGGTCTTTGTTTATTTCCACACAACAATGAAACTAAGAGTCAGTTTGCTTTTCATTATCACCATCTACCAGAATTTCTGAAAAATTACAGAGATACAATGCTCTGCCTAGGTAAGGGTGGACTGCTCCCATCACCTTGTCCCCCTTGGCAATGTCACCACTTGTAACACTTTTTCAGCTAGCTCTTACAACACAGCTTGATATCCAGGCTGCCCTGGAACTCCACACATTTTTTCTCTTTCTGAATCTGCTGCTCCTTGTGACCCCTATCTCTATACCCAGGGGCTTTCCTTCACTTCTAGAGACCTTTGTTCAGCTTCCGTTCTAACTGTTCAAGGTTTCAATGCTTCTAGGAGGTCACAACCTCTAACTCCTCTCCTTTCCTTGTCCCAGCACTTTCCCCCACCCTGAGCTTGGCTCCAAACGTCAGTTTTTCACTTTGGTTTCTATTGTTCTATTTCCTGCAAATTGGTCCCTAGCCCATTACAAATTAACATTTATAGAATTGCATAATTAACATGAGATAAATCAAGAGGCTCTTATCTATGAAAAAATGAGCATGTGCATTCTCTATGTGTTATTCAGTCAAAATGCAGTTGATAAACTGCTTCCCAAAGTAGTTTATCAGATTATGACAAGGCACATTAAACCTAGAGGTATAGTCGGTTTAAAAAGAAAAAAAAAAAAAGCCACTGTATCTGTCGGTTAGTTTTGCCTCAGTCCCCCTCTCCTATTCCATCTACCCCAACTCCAAAATGCATCTCAATTCTCTGAATTTCTGGTATGTGTTGAAAACTACTTGCCAGCACATTCTTCTGACCACCTTCATAATGGATGGAAATAGAACAGGGAAGGATTAATAAGAAAAGTGCTAAGAAAAATTATCTAGAACTTGGAAATAAGGCCAGGAGAGTTCAGGATATCCTTTCAATGTCATAATAGTATGTTGGTTTATAAGCCCACCCCAGGGCCTTCCATAGGAAGATATCTTTGAATAACTTGCTATATACCATTTGTTAAAGATCCCAGACTTTGTGAAGTGACTTGTTAAGTTGTATAATGTCTGGTAGAGATGCAAATCATTTTCCCAAAGATTATAGTTTTATTGCCCTGTAGGACATTAAGCAGTTTTGTATCCAACCTAGCAATCTCATTCAAACACTCTTTTTTAATGCCTATAAATTTCCAATGCTCTTTGAGATACCTTTATTGTCTCATTGGTTCCATCATTAATTAATTGAATTAAACCTTTGACCTGAGCCGTGATTTTAACTTTTTGAAAATGATACTTTGAAAAGAGTCATGAACAGTCGACATGGGAGCCAGTCATGGCAGATGTGATGAATGAAAAAGAGAGGCCAGATTTATCAATGTAGTTATTCTAATCCTTTCACAGATTCCTGCTTCTAGTTATTTTTTTGTAACACATACTATTAACTTCCCTTTAGGAACCATAGCCTCAGAAAAGCTTTTCCACAACATTAATTACAAGAGGAATCTGGAAAGGTACATAACATCTGCGGCCTCTAACCTGTGTGGTAATGGGCTGGTGGGAGTCTTGGGGATTACAAGAGTAACTAGCACACAATGGAAGCAGCCCTCCCATCCTCATCCCATGGGGAACCCACGGGACAGAGGACTGAACCGGCCCACCATTTCCCAGAGTCAAACTAGGAAAGAAAACTGGCTTTTCCAAAATGATAATGAAGCAGCATTGTTGTATGGGGTAAATACCCGAGATTCATTGTCTCACGGTCACGGAAAACTAGAATACGGATACACAAGGAGTGAGCTTAAGAGCAGAAGTTTAATTGGTGAAAGAAAGAGAAGAGCTCTCTCCTGCAGAGAGAGGGGTCCTGAATGGGTTTCTGCTTCTGAGGTGAAATGTAGTGTTTTGTTTTGTTTTGTTTTGTTGAGACGGAGTCTCGCTCTGTCGCCCAGGCTGGAGTGCATTGGTGCGATCTCCGCTCAATGCAAGCTCCGCCTCCCGGGTTCACGCCATTCTCCTGCCTCAGCCTCCCTAGAAGCTGGGACTACAGGCGCCCGCCACCACGCCTGGCTAATTTTTTTGTGAAACGTAGTGTGTTTTATAGATGAACTTGAGAAAGTGGTGTCTGATTTACATAGGGGACGAAAGATTGGTCGGACCAGGTGTGCCATTTGCATAAGGCACGAAAAACTGGTTAGGACTAGGTGTGCCATTTGCATAGGGCATGAAAAGCTGGCCACCCACACCCTGATCTTTTTATTACGCAGATGGGTCTGCTACCTGTCTGGTGCCATGTTGCCTGTTCCTTTACTGTACACATGGTGACAAAGAAAAGGGAAGATGGAGCCTCCATGTTGAACATACCTGGCCCCCAGGTAGCCCTTTTCTTTTGGCACCACTGCTGGCATTCACCTGTGCAAGCTTCCACCTTGCTTATCTATGTCTGCAGCTCGATTTTTCAGGCTGCTCTTTGTTCAAAGAGAATAATTTCTTGGCTGCTTTTTGTTAGAAGGAAAGCCTTGCTGAGGACTCTTTTACCCTATCTGCCTAAATAATTTATTTCTACCTCCTGCATCAATAAGGCAGCTTAACTTGTGCCTAAAAGTCAATCACAAAGACCCATGTTGGAGCAGTAGCTATTTCATAACAACCTGAAAAAGCCCAAACACCCTGCAAGTTCTAATATGCAACCAAGGAGAAACCTTAGCCTCCATGAGGGAGAGAAGTACTTGTCTGTGAAATTTGTTGGCAATAAAATATTTAAACAGCTAGGTCCCTTGATATAGTTCTGACATTGGGGTGTGTATGTGTGTGTTTACAAAGGAATCTTTTTGTTTTTCCTGCTCAAAAAAGGAAGAAAGATCTTTTCATATTTTTATTTTAAAAGAAGCCATTAGGTCCTACAAGGTCAGCCGGCCTGCTTGTTTTCTGGTTTCTTATCTCACAAAACTCCTTGTCATTAACTATGTGTTTTCAATCACCTAGTGTGTATTTAAGTGGCTTTTTCTGATTTAAAAGGTATTTCATTTTTTTGAAGATATTATAAGGCACGTTCATCTCTTTATTGTAGTATAGGCATTCAGGCTGCTGTTTGCACTGTGGTCTGCTATTTTATGTGCTATTTTGTATTTATCTGGCTCTGAAGCGTAGAGTCTATCAACAAAATAGGTACTGGGTAGGTGTAGTCTGAAATGTTGATCTAAAGCATTCATATCTCAAACCTTATGGAGGTTTATTTAGTTAGGCATGGCTTGAAATACTAAGGTGACTGAGTGAGAACATAAATGAAAATCTTATTTTTAAAAAGTCTCCTTAACTAAAAATACCTACAGTCGTTCCATATTTTGACAACTCTTTAACAAAGCTGTTTGGCAGTTATTAGCTAGAAATGCAAAGGGGTGAGCCAGTTGCCTAGAATGATGCCCTTTTAATTATTGGATGAACTTTCTTAAATATTGAAAACAACTTAAGGTTGTGTACATTTTGTTTTGCTTCAGTCTAAGAATTTATCTATCCCTGAGTAATCTAGAAAGCAGATCTGAGGGATCGAGCAGGTGCAGGGTTTTGCTATTACAGTTCTGCAAGACCAAACAATACTTCCTTCTGTGCTTTCACCCTGAAAAAGATATCCTGAACAGGGGTCTCCCAATGCTTGAGGTCAGTCTCCAGATCAGAGCTGTGTTCTCTGGACACTCACTTGTTTTCTGAACCAGTGAGAGGTGAACAGTCTCTGTTGTCCCCTTGCTTTTCCTGGCTCCCCTTCCTCCCACATACCTTTGCTATTTGTCCGGAAACACAGGCAGGAATATAAATAACTTAAATATACAGTGTTTTCCTTAAGTGGCTGGTTATTTTGCAATAGATTGTTTGAGAAAATCTCCCCGAAAAATTGCTGCTTCCTTTTGGTGATGTTAGCTCAGGCTTTCCCCTTGTGTTTTCCAGAAAATTCCATGTTCAAGAAGCTGAACTTTCCTGCTCCACATAAAAGCTTCGGGGTATGCTTAACCTTCTCCCTCTTCTGAACTGCATCTGACATTCGAATGTTCCCTGTCCTGCTACATGAAGATCTTCACTTACTGCTTCTAATTGGATTTGTAAGGATGAACTTGTCTATTTTCCCCTTTACTCCTGCCATGAGGCTAAGATGAATGGCCCCTCATAAATTGCTGGCCTGGTTATTTATCTGCAACACCTGCATGTTATTATCCCATAATAACACAGATAATGAAACTGAGTGGTATTAAAACCAGCATCGAGTGGGGAGGCTCATTAAAAGAACGGCTTTGTTACATGGCACCCCTGTTAGTGGCAGTCTTTTCTTCTGGCATGGCCCTCCTTTTTCGTAAACCTGGGGCCTTTTAGGCGGGACCTGGCTTTTTTTTTTTCTTCCCCTGCCCCAAGGTATAGAAGGAGGAGTTGGCCTTCTCCCAATCTACTCAGTCTCTAGACTGTGCTGTCCAATATGGTGGACGTGAGCTGCATGTGGCTTTGAAATACATTTGAAATGTGGCTAGTCCAAATTGAGATGAACAGTAAGTGCAAAATTCATACCAAATTCCAAAGTCTTCATACAGAAAGGTAAAAGAATACCAAATACCTTGATATTTTTCATATTGATTATATTGAAATGATAATATTTTACATATTATCACTTGAACATCGACGGGGTTAGGGGCACCAACTGCTGCACAGTAGAAAATTCAAGTATAACTTTTGATTCCCCAAAAACTTTGCTAATAGCATACTGTTGATCGGAAGCCTTACCAATAACATAAACAGTCAATTAAAACATATTTTGTGGCCAGGCTCAGTGGCACACACCTGTAATCCCAGCACTTTGGGAGGCCGAGGAGGGCAGATCACAAGGTCAGGAGATTGAGACCATCCTGGCTAACACGGTGAAACCCTGTCTCTACGAAAAATACAAAAAATTATCAGGGCGTGGTGGCGGCTGCCTGTAGTCCCAGCTACTCGGGAGGCTGAGGCAGGAGAATGGCATGAACCCGGGAGGTGGAGCTTGCAGTGAGCCAAGATCGTGCCACTGCACTCCAGCCTGGGCGACAGAGCGAGACTCCATCTCAAAAAAAAAAAAAAAAAATTTTGTACGTTATATACTACATTCTTACAATAAAGTAAGCTAGAGAAAGAAAAATGTTATTAAGAAAATCATAAGAGAACACACATTTCCTATTCATTAAGTGGGAATGGATCATCATAAAGGTCTTCATCTTCATCGTCTTCATGTTGAGTAGACTGAGGAAGAAGAGGGGTGGGTCTTGCTGTCTCAGGGGTGGCAAAGGTGGAAGAAAATCTACATGTAAGTGGACCCACACAAGTCAAACTTGTGTTGTTTAAGGGTCAACCACATTAGGTGAAATAAAATACATTATTAAAATTAACTCCACCAATTTTTTTTACTTTTTTTTTTTTTTTTTGAGACAGAGTCTCGCTCTGTCACCCAGGCTGGAGTGCAGTGGCGCAATCTCGGCTCACTGCAAGCTCCGCCTCCCGGGTTCACGCCATTCTCCTGCCTCAGCCTCCCGAGAAGCTGGGACTACAGGTGCCCGCCACCACGCCCAGCTAATTTTTTGTATTTTTCGTAGAGACAGGGTTTCACCGTGTTAACCAGGATGGTCTCGATCTCCTGACCTCGTGATCCACCCGTTTCGGCCTCCCAAAGTGCTGGGATTACAGGCATGAGCCATTTTTTACTATTTTTTAAAATGTGGTCACTAGAAATTTAAAATTCCATTTGGCTTGTATTTGTGGCTCACATTCTGTTGCCATTAGGTACTGCCATGCTGGACAATCGTCCACCATCTTCACCCAACAGCTGTCCACCTTTGCAGACCACACCATTCCGTTGTGATGGCCTCTTTCCACCTACATGGGCTCCCCAGAAACTCCTTAGTTGTCCTCAAAGTTGGGCTTACCGTTTTCCTCCACCCAACTCCAAACTATCAACCAAGACAACTTTAATATGTATTGAAATCAAACCAATAAGCATTAATGAGTTGCTTACTGGCTCTGGATTTATATTTTTTATGAGTAAAAACTAGATTGCAAAGAACATATAGTTTATTAAGGGAGAAAGGACTACAAGCAAATAATTATAATAAAGTGAGAAAAGTTCTAGAATACACAGTATGTATAAAGTACTACTACTGGACTCAAGAAAAGCAAGATTGATTCTGCCTGTGATTATCAGAGGAAGTGAGATGCTGCGGGTGAGGGAGTTCATGGAGGTGGAAAGTGCCCGTTAGATGACAGAGCTGCAGGAGACCATAGGAGGCAAGGCTGCAGAGGTGTTGTGGGACCATATGATGGCTCTGGTGGGTGCCCAGGGGGCCAGGCTGCATAGGACCAGATGATGCTATGTAGATAAGGATGCACAGATGATGGAGCTGCATGGAGCTGTGGGAGATAAGACTGCTGTCCTGCCAACTTCAGAAGCATAAGAGGAGAGTTTTGGTGGTAAAGCTGGAGCAGGGTAGGGCGCAGAAGTTGTTACGGGAGGAGGATAGGGTGCTTAGTGGTCTCGGCTGTCAAGCTGTGTTGGTCCCCATCCTGTGCACACACTTCTTTTCGTGCATACCTGCTAGGAACTATCAGAAGGAAGGAGCTGGAGAATGTGCCAATGTGTCACTCAGCTTCTGCAAAGATGTGCAGATCTGCTCTCTAACAGGAGAGCTGCTTTTGCACTGAAAAGTTTAGCAGAAACAATGACCTAGTTCACCTGCCTCAAAGCTGGCTGACTTGCCCAGGCAATAGGCTGGATGTTTATTAAAAGTGAAAACTCACTCTCCAATAAATGCCTTACTTGTCAGAACCTTCTCTCTACCTCTCCATGACACAGAATCCAGGGTAATGAGCAGTTACAGAATGCATGCACTTTCTTTGCTCTTGAAACCCAAAGACAGAACGTAGGAGGACCCCCTCCACCTTAATGTGTTACAGATCATTTTCTGGTGCAGCCAGGATGGGATATTAGAGAGCAGTCAGTCAGCTCCATAGCTGTGTGCCCGGAACTGACACACACCCCCATCTCTGCCTTCATGGTCACACATAGAGAGGGCACACATGATGTAGAGTGGAAGGTGCTGGGAGAGAGAAATGCCTTACTCCAAAAAAAGCCAATGTTGAGGTTAGGTTTATTTTACTAAAAAAAAAAAATTGAGGGCAGAGTCTCTCTACCAAGCCAGAACCAGAGTGTTGATTCTCTGGAAGATTGTTGGCTCATGGGATTACCTGCAGAACTAAAAAACAAACAAGCAAAAAGCCACATCCCCAGAGATTATAATTTAATTGGTGTGAAGCTTTTTTTGTTTTGTTTTTGAGAGCTCCCTAGGTGCTTCCAATATGCAGCCAAGGTTGAAAAACCACTGGCTAGATTTTGAAAGTCCATCTTTTTGTTTGTTTGAGATGGAGTCTCACTCTGTGGCCTAGGCTGGAATGCATTGGCGCGATCTTGGTTCACTGCAACCTCCACCTCCTGAGTTCAAGTGATTCTCATGCCTCAGCCTCCCGAGTAGCTGGGACTACAGGCGTGTGCCACCACACCTGGCTAATTTTTGTATTTTTAGTAGAGATGGGGCTTCACTATGTTGGTCAGGCTATGCTCAAACTCCTGAACTCAGGTGATCCGCCCACCTTGGCCTCCCAAAGTGCTGGGATTACGGCATGAGCCACTGCTCCCCTGGCTGTCTTTTTTTTTTTTTTTTTTTTTTTTAGCTTACTAATTGCCACTGACTTTCACTTAAATTAGGAGGAGGTAAAATTGAGGTCATTGATTCAGGGTTTAGGAAACTGCACGGGCAAGTACAAAGTAGCTGAGAAAGTCTAGGCTGTGTCCAGGGGTGAGAAATCAGGGCTACAGCCTGAAACCTCACAGCATTAGCCCTGAAAGGGCAAGAAGAAGCAACTGCCGATCTTATCTTTCTCTAAGTCCTGTGATTCTCAAATAGAATCACCTGGAAGGCTTGTAAAGCCACAGATTGTGGGGTCCTATCCACCCCCTCACTTTTCAGATTCAGTGATGGGCTGGAGGCAAAAAATGTGCATTTCTAACATGCTCCCAGGTGATGCCAATGTTGCTAGCCCCAGAAATACAAGGGAGAACAGGATTACTTAAAATGAAAATGTAGCAAAAAGTCCCAGGCATTTTTCCTGAGCACCTACTACGTACCTGGTACCACAATGTACCTGGGGATACAGAGGAGGAGCCACAGTTCCTGCTGTCCATAGCTTGGCAGTGTCTTGATGCAGAGACCTATAGACAAACATTTCCATTTTGTTAGGTTCTATGGCAGAGACTTCCAGTTTCCTCTCCGAGATGTGGGAGTTAGAAATAGCGTGGCTCTAGGCCGGGGGCAGTGGCTTACGCCTGTAATCCCAGCACTTTGGGAGGCCAAGGCAGACGGATCACCTGAGGTCAGGAGTTCGAGACCAGCTTTGCCAACATGGTAAACTCTGTGTCTTCTAAAAATTTAAAAATTAGCTGGGCACGGTGGTGTACACCTGTAATCCCAGTTACTTGGGAGGCTGAGGCACGAGAATCACTTGAACTTGGGAGGTGGAGGTTGCAGTGATCTGAGATATCATATCACTGCAGTCCAGCCTGGGCGACAGAGCAAGACTTCATCTCAAAAAAAAAAAAAAAAAAAAAAGGAATAGCGTGGCTCCCACCCTTATAACATCAAAAAGCCAGATGGTCTGGGCTTAAAATGATTAAAGAAAGAAAGAAAAAAAAAGACAGACAAACTGCAAGTCCAAACCTTTCTTGAATCCATCAGAAAGCTGAGGTCACAGGGCAAACAACTAAGCCAACATCAAAGGACAGACAGACAGTGGCAGGGGCAGATGAGACCTGAGCCCTTGCTTACCTGAGTCAGAGGCAGCTGGACATGAGTAAGAAGAATTCACTAGAATTTTTTTAGCTTGTTTTAAAAATTATTTTTTGAAGTCTCATGTGGGTTTTGAGCCACAGTTTGAAATTCATTTTGAAACAAGACTCCCAGCTGTGCCACCTCTAGCTTCCCCACAATGACAGCTGGGCCATAGCAGAGGAGTGAGGGAGGAATATGGAAAGAACCCAAAACTTCTATTGTATCAAGATCCTTCAAGCCAGGAATGAAAGTGGATGAGTTTGTACTGTTGGGGAAAGCCCTTGGCAGCTCTGAACCTTAGTGTTTTGGGTACCCAAAGGGCAGCAGGAGGAAACTCAGTCAACAGCACCCACACTAACTGCCACAAATGGTATTTCTTCCTACAAGACGTCTGCATTCCAAGGATTGAGTCAACCACAAGGATCAATAAGGATTCACTTTGCTAGCAATTTCTACCACTGATGGGCTTGTCCCTTTGCAGATCTGGAGACACCCCCAGAGCTCTTCTCTCCGACAGTGTTTCCATTCTAGGGCCATCCCAGCACAGCCTCCCAATAAACTCACCCTAAGTTTCCTTGTAATAAAATAAGCCAAGTGAAGGCAGGCAAAATCTTTAATTGCCAATAGTTAGGCAACTCCTGTAACCTTTTCTGTACATAAAAGTTATAGCCCTGTAGGTTTGAGATAAAACTGGATTGTAATTGGAAGAGCTGAGATCTGGAAATAGTTTTGCTGGACTTTCTGAAGTCTTTAATCCCATAAATATATATCATTTTTCTTTTATGTGGACTTTTGGATAACATAAAAGAATTTAATGGAAAAAATGTTCATCTTCCAGGAAAACACTAATAACTAAGATTTCCTTCTTAATGAGAGGCCAACAGGGGTCAGGCTAACTAGAGAAGAGAAAGATAATTCCTCATATATTTTATGTTCCTTATTCTTTGTACCTTATTTTTCATAGCTCTTATGAGCCCTGAACCATATGAGTCTGTGAACCATACTGACTGGGAAAATACTCAACTCGGTCCTTCCCCTCAGAATTGGTGTGGATTATTTTTACTTACTGTGAATCCAGATTTACTTCCAGACCACCCCTTCTTTACCGTTGCCCACAAACCAGGAACTCAAGGAGAGATGTAGCTGAATAAGAAATGTTCTTTTATCTTAAACAATTTTATAAGAAAAAAACAAACAACTCCATCAAAAAGTGGGCAAAGGATATGAACAGACACTTCTTAAAAGACGACATTTATGGAGCCAACAGACATATGAAAAAATGCTCATCATCACTGGTCATTGGAGAAATGCAAATCAAAACCACAATGAGATACCATTTCATGCCAGTTAGAATACTGATCATTAAAAAGTCAGGAAACAACAGATGCTGGAGAGGATGTGGAGAAATAGGAATGCTTCCACATTGTTGGTGGAAGTGTAAATTAGTTCAACCATTGTGGAAGACAGTGTGGCGATTCCTCAAGGATCTAGAACTAGAAATACCATTTGACCCAGCAATCCCATTACTGGGTATATATCCAAAGGATTAGAAATCATGCTACTATAAAGACACGTGTGTGTATGTTTATTGCACCACTATTCACAATAGCAAAGACTTGGAACCAACTCAAATGTCCATCAATAATAGACTGGATAAATAAAATGTAGCACATACACACCATGGAACACTATGCAGCCATAAAAAAGATGAGTTCATGTCCTTTGCAGGGACATGGATGAAGTTGGAAACCATTGTTCTCAGCAAAATATCATAAGGACAGAAAACCGAACACTGCACGTTCTTACTCATAAGGGGGAGTTGAACAGTGAGAACGCATGGACACAGGGAGGGGAACATCAAACACCAGGGCCTGTTGGGAGGTGGTGGGCTGGGGGAGGGATAGTGTTAGGAGAAATACCTAATGTAAATGATGAGTCGATAGGTGCAGCAAACCAACATGGCACGTGTATACCTATGTAACAAACCTGCACGTTGTGCACATGTACCCTAGAACTTAAAGTATTAAAAAAATTAAAAACCACTAGCAAAAAAAAAATGTTGTTTTTTTGGTTATCAACATAAAATAAACTTTCTAGATTTTCCAAAAATTTAATCAGATATCTCAAATTTCCCGAAGTCCTGTTTGTTGGTGAATCCTTGGTATTTCTTTGAATCGTTCACTTTCAGTAATCCCCTCAAGCTAATTTTATCGTTCAGAGAAGAATCAAATCTAGTTTCCAAATATTCAGAGTTGTGAGTCTAATTTTATCCCCAAACTGAAATATTAGCTAGTCGTCCCATAGATTGCCCCTGGTCTCACCAACCTTGTTTTGGATCTGCTGAGGAAGTCTCACATCTAGAATCTTTAAAATGAAGTTTTGATCCTGATTCCCAGTTCCATATTCTGGTCTCTATATAAATTTCCCACCACATTAATTGATAGTTAATTATAGGACTCTCTTGGAACTGGCCAACTTCTCCCCATCAGTAATTGACTCAGGCCCAAATTGGATGTCCTGAACTGGCACTGGACGCAAGATGCCCCTTTGTGTCTACTCTTATCTGAACCCTAGAGCTGAAGCTTGACCATTCTGAATTGGTATGCAAGACTGGAGTCCACTGAAATGGGGCTGGGTGAGAGCACCTGGATTAAAATCCCCCCACATTTTCCCTGGCAGTTGTGTTACCATTTAGGTTGAAAGAGGCGATCTTTGTGAGTGGAAATCCTCCAATACACTCATGATTTCACCAAAGACAAGTGTGACATATACTTCCATTCACTTGAACATTCACATGGATTTTCTAGAAATTTCTAAATACTACCAGAATTAAACACCTCATGTCCTAGGAGAATAAATACAAAATAATCTGAGGTTTCACTTTCCACGATTTCAGTTACTCATGTTCAACCAAGTTTGGAAAATAAGTATGAGTATAGTATAATAAGATATTTTGAGGCTGGGCACAGTGGCTCACGCCTGTAACCCCAGAACTTTGGGAGGCCAAGGTGGGCTGATCATTTGAGATCAGGAGTTGGAGACCAGCCTGGCCAACATAGTGAAACCCCGTCTTTACTAAAAATACATAAACTAGCCAGGAGTGGTGGCCCACACCTGTAGTCCCAGCTACTTGGGAGACTGAAGCAGGAGAATTGTTTGAACCCAGGAGGCAGAGGCTGCACTGAGCCAAGGTCACACCACTGCACCACTGCACTCCAGCCTGGGTGACAGAGTGAGACTCCATCTCAAAAGAGAGAGAAAAAAAAGATATTTTGAAAGAGAGAGACACCACATTTATTTAACTTTATTACAGTACATTATAATTGTTCTATTTTATGTTTAGTTATTGTTCATCTCTTGCCATGCTTAATTTATAAATTACACTTTATCATAGGTATGTATGTGTAGGAAAACACAGTTCATATAGGGTTCGGTGTTATCCAGGGTTTCAGGCATCCACTGGGGGTCTTGCAATGTATCCTTCATGGATAAAGGGGGACTACTCTGTATCTACACACACATACTCACACAAATAGGTCACAGAAGAGTTTCACTGCATGGGAAAGGGATTATGCTGGTGAAATACTAAGCCAAGTATCGGTGTCCATTTGCTCATTCTCATTAGGATTAAACTGAAAGCTGTTTATCTGCTGCTAGTTGCACAGGGATATATCTTGGCTTTACTTTCCAAATGGATTCTTGGCACAGTTTCATTGTTAGGGATATGGGATCCAAGACAAAACAAAAAACAAACCAAAAAAACATTGTGCTTAAGGAGTATACAAGAATTATGATTCCTAGATCTTTATCTACCTTGATGTTTTGAAAACTTGCTTTAAGAGAAATAACATGGGCCTGGAGTAGAAGGACAGGAAGGAAGGGGAAGCTGAGAGAACAGCCAGGAAGCTGGGACTAACAGCTGTTCTATTTTTCTGAACAGGGGGAATAAAATTAGACAAGAGTCACAAATTCATGAGTGTAAAATAACAGCATGTCTAAGCAGGGCAGGGGTGTGGTGAGTCCTTATTGCTTGTGGGTAAAGGACAATTAAAATTACTTTATGAAAAGTTCATAAAGATGAATAAAGTTAAAGTACTCAGTGTGGTATTCATCTCTCTCTAACACAGGCTTTTCCTGCTGTAGATGCGTGAAGGGCGTGCTGAGATTCGATTAGCTCACCACCTCAGTGGATTTCTACTATATTTACAGATTAAATACCAATTTCTTTACATTCTGCCTTTCAACATTAAACCAAGGTGTGCCTAATGACGACAACAGCTTTCAACCAAAGGTCACAAGGACAGCTTCCCAGGACTGAGTGACGTATCCACCTGGATTTATCTCTATGCAAAAGTCTTCATTTATGCCTTCTTTCTTTGTTCTTTCTCCAAACCAACCACTGTAAACTACACAGCATGGCTCTCTGCTTATTCATTTTTTGAATTTTTGTTTATTTATTATACAGAGATGGGGGTCTCACTATGTTACCCAGGCTGATCTCAAACTCCTGGCCTCAAGCAATCCTCCTGCCTCAGCCTCCCAAAGTGCTGGGATTACAGGCATGAGCCACCATGCTCAGTCCATGGCTCTCTGTTTATACCTCAGTTTTAAAAATCAGAGTAAATGGTCATCTTGGGCATTTGTTTTTCTGATAAAAGCTTCATAAATGTGCACACTCTTTTGCATCTGCCTGCTCTCCCCACAGGCCTGTTGCTGTCCAAACCAGTGTGAAGAGTATGACTTAATGGAGAAAACTACTGCTAAAAAGAGTCCATTAGCCCATTGGACGAATTTCTTGGACTGCATTAAAATCAGTTCAATCATTTAAAACAATTATTAAGTGCATAATATATAGCGGACCATTTTAGGCATGGAACACAGCACAGCAAATAAAACAGACACAAATCCCTGCCCTTGTGGAATTTAGACCCTAGTGGTGATATAGAAAAAAAAAAAAAAAATGAATAAAGGGAAGAGGGTTGGGAATGCCCAGGGTGGTGGTGGTGGAGCAGCTTTATATCGGTTGATCCAGGGATGTAATGTTTGTGGAGACGTTTGAGCAAAGAAGGAGAAGAAGGGAACCAAGCAGATGTTTGGGAGAGAACATTCCATGAAGGTGAAATAACAAATGTGAAGGTCATGGGGTGAGACTGCCCTGCTGATGGCAAGGCTACACTGACGCCAGGGTGGCTGCAGGGAGCAAGGGAGGAGGGGAAGCATAGTTTGGAATTATAATTAAAATTTTTTAAAAAGCCTTCTTTCTCAGCCTGATTCCTACCACGATAATATTTCTGATTTTTCCGTCTCATTTTAGACAAGATAAATGATTTGAGGTATGTTATTACCAGAAATCATTAAAAAAAATAATAAGGCCATGCTGTCTGATGTAGTTTCAATTATTACATTATTATCATATATGAACATATTCAGACTAAAAAAAAGATTATTATAGTCACGATAGTCACCACTATGACCACTAATGATACAGTTACATCACAGTTTACATAATCTCATTTGACCTTGTGATAATGCCTGGATAAGGGCTGCTTCCCCTTTCTGCAGATAAGGAAAATTGTCCAATGCATTATGTGACTTGTCCAAAATTGCTCAGCTAGTAAATGTTGGAGGAGGGGTATGGACTAGAATTCCAGTATTATTTTTGCTAAATTACACGACTTTCAGTGCCAACACCTGCTCAGAACATCTCTACTCTCTATAATTTGCCCCTTTAAGAGAGAAAAGACCTGTAACTAAGAAAGATTGGTTTACCTAATAAGGAAAAAGTAAAATGAACAATGACATTTATTATAAAATTGTATATCATACTAAAAATGAGATACCTAAAATCTCAATAATAAGACAGCACAACCTAAAAGCTCAATAATGAGAGACAGATAAGTGTGGAATACTTACAGATGTGTGGAACACTATCATTCTATAATAATAGAACAAGAGCCACCCAGAGATGTCTACAACCTAATTTCCAGATTCTGTGTATATGTTACTTGGCAGGGAAAAGGGGAAGTAAGGTTGCAGATGGAATTCGGTTGCTAATCAGGGAGATTATTGAATGGGCCTATATTAGACCGTTCTCACATTGCTATAAAGAAACACCTGAGACAAAGTCATTTATTTATTTATTATTATTATTATTATTTTAGATGGAGTCTCGCTCTGTCGCCCAGGCTGGAGTGCAGTGGTGCGATCTTGGCTCACTGCAACCTCCTCCTCCCAGGTTCAAGTGATTCTCCTGCCTCAGTGTCCTGAGTAGCTGGGACTGTAGGCACACACCACCACACCCAGCTAATTTTAGTATTTTTATTAGAGACGGGGTTTCACCATGTTGGCCAGGCTGGTCTCAAACTCTTAATCTAAAGTTATCCTCTTGCCTTGGCCTCCCAAAGTGCTGGGATTACAGGTGTGAGCTACCTCAACCGGCCGAGACCAAGACATTTGTAAGAAAAGAGATCTCACCAGCTTATGGTTCTGCAGGCGCTACAGGAAGCCTGGTGGAGGAGGCCTCAGAGGCTTTGACTGGTGGTGGAAGGCAAAGTGGGAGCAGGCACCTCACATGGCAAGAGCAGGAGAGAAAGATGGGAGAGGTGCCACACACTTTTAAACGACCAGATCTCATGAGAACTCACAAACGCAAGGACAATACCAAGAGAGATGGTGCTAAACCATTCAAGAGATATCCACCCCTATGACCCAATCACCTCCCACGAGGCCCCACCTCTAACACTGGGGATTACATTTCAATGTGAGATTTGGGTGGGACACACATCCAAACTATATATTTTAAGGCCCAGGGACCCTTAAAAGTGAAAGAGGAAGATGTGACTATGGGAGAAAGGCACAGAGAGATGCAATGTTGTTGACTTCAAAGATGTATGAAGGGGCCCCGAGTCAAGGAATGCAGGAGGCCTCCAGCAGCTGTAAAGGACAAGGGAACGATTCTCCCCTGGGCCACCAGAAAGGAGTACAGCCCTGTTGACACCTTGATTTCAGCTCAGTGAGACCCATACTGGAATGCTGACCTCTATAATTGTCAGATAATAAATTTGTGTTGTTTTTCAGCTGTTGTGTTTGTGGTAATTTGTTACAGCAGCAACAGGAAACTAATACAATAAGCCAAAATGAACTACATACTTGAGGCTTGGTCATGTAAATATTTAAATGATACTGTGAGATCTATGGAATAACATGGAAAATATTTAGGTTCTATATTTAAAAAGTAATATACAGACATGTATATACAGTGTGGTTAGAAGTAGGTTTGATAAACAAAGAAGCAGAAATCGTTGCTGAGTGAATATAAAATCTGGGAGAAAAGCCAGAAAAATGTGAACCGTGAGTAATGTGAGGGGTGGAATGATGCTGATTCATTTTTCTTTTCTTTCAACTTTTATGAATTTTTCAAATTTCCTTTAATGGGCCTGCATGGAGAAAACACTAAAATTAAGTTTCAACTTGATCTGAGAAAGTAAAAATCCTATTTAGAGAGCTGCAGTGATATATATTGCCAGAGAGGACACCATCAGTCATGACTTCTGTGGTAAAATAGCAATATTCTTCTTCATTTTATCTAGGTAGCCAGATGGAGAAACAGTTACCATTTTAGCAACTGGTACTAACGTTCCTATGTTGGGAGAGACCTATCTTAGTTGAAAAGCTGAAAAGGAGCTTTGTCAAGTTCACTAGGAGAAGGAAGTCCCCAGGCTCAGTGCTCAGTGCTCAGATTTCACTTTAAGGAAGGGAGAGGGAGGAGGAATGGGACTGAGGCTGCTTAGGGCTGGAGTCAGGAGAGGGCTGGAGTCAGGAGAGGGCTGGAGTCAGGGGAGGCTGCTTAGGGCTGGAGTCAGGAGACGGTAGAGAAGGAAGTCCCCAGGCTCAGTACACCAGTACTCAGATTTCACTTCAAGGAAGGGAGAGGGAGAAGCAATGGGGCTGAGGCTGCTTAGGGTTGGAGTCAGGAGAGGGTAGAGAAGTGGCAGCTGGGGCTGGAAGAAAACTTTCGAAGGAAAGTACAAACCTATAGCACATTTTCAAAGGAATTCAGTGTGTGGTAGATGCGATGCCTCCCTGTTACTCCCGATCTTCACTCAAACTGTAACTTGTCCATGTTTGATTTGATTTCACAGGGAAACTGAGAAAGGCGGTGAGATTTGCATCAAGGTCAACCCTGTCGAAAATTGGGCTAGCCTGTGTGGATGGGGAGAGTATGAGATCTAAAATCACGTCTCGTGGTGTGCCTACCATGTGTCTTCAACTTTGCTGGGTGTTCACTGCCTGTTCAACATCTCCCCTTCCTAGGGTACCTCCTAACCCAAGTGTAATGTGTGGCCCATTGCAAATTAACATGTGTTTGCAAAGTTCTTTCACTACCTTGAGTTGCATGTCATACACAAGGAGCCAGCCCTTGGATTCCCTGGGATTTGGGCCAGTTTGTTGCAAAGCAACCACTCAACTGCTGCTCCCCTGAGAACCCATGGGGGCTCCTCACTGCTGATGTTCCCCAGGGACTGAGAAGCTACTCGCTCTCCAGTGTGAGATGGTTTTAGAGGTAGGCGCCTAAAGTTATTCAAAGGAGCCATGGTGCTTGCGCTGCCCTTAAAAGCCCAGAAGATGCTGGGAAGTGGTGTTTGTTAGAGGACCCATTGGGGATTCTATATCCTCCATGGGGTCCTTGAGAGTCAAAGGAACTTCACTCCACCAGACATCCCAGAAACAGAGCTCCTGAGGTGCCCATGATTGAAAATGAGGAATGTTCCCTAGAGACCTTCTGGGCCAAATCCCGCCATTGCTCACTGGGGTCTCTCCACAGTGGCAATAGTTTCTTTGGTTTTCTCCAGTTCTGTTTTGAGGGTTCAATGAACCAGAGCTCCCTTGGGGTCAGGTGATATTCCAGAGGCCTAATGTCTGCCTCTGTGGGTGGCAAAACTCACTACCAAAAATGTGGGGGAGTAGTAATGATGTAAGTGTGTGTGTGTGTGTGTGTGTGTGTGCCTGTGCCTACATCAAGGGGGAGAGGGAAGGAAGCAGAGATTCCAGATTTTGTAGGCTTGAAGCTTATATGATTTTGAGGGTCCTCTTCAAGAAAAAAATACTACATTACAAATTCAAAATTAGGTACAAAAAATACAATATGTATTTTACAATGAGGAAAAAAATAACAACAAATTACAACTATTAAAAAAGCTGGCAAATAACCCAAAGCATCACAAAATCTAGAACATAGCATATTAATTCCCTAACACATCTCTATACTATTTTTCCTACATTTTTTAGCTAAATCTTCCTTGATAACCTCTTCAAATGACAGTGATTTTTTTTTTTTTTTTAAACAGGAATAGATTCATTCTTTCCTCTATCTAGCATGACTGATGAAGTGTTTAAAAATATTATCGATAGTTTAGAAGTTGGCTTTCCGGCTGGGCACAGTGGCTCATGCCTGTAATCCCAGCACTTTGGGAGGCCAAGGTGGGCGGGTCACCTGAGGTCAGGAGTTCGACACCAGCCTGGCCAACACGGGGAAACCCTGTCTCTACTAAAAATAGAAAAATTAGCTGGCGTGGTGCTGCGCGCCTGTAAGCCCAGCTACTCGGGAGGCTGAGGCAGGAGAATCGCTTAAACCCAGGAGGCAGAGGTTGCAGTGAGTGGAGATCACGCCATTGCACTCCAGCCTGGGCAACAAAAGTGAAACTCCGTCTCAAAAAAAAAAAAAAAAGAAAAGAAAAGAAATTGGTTTTCAGCTTCCTAATTCATTTTTGACCATGTAGTAAATTTGTAGAATTTGTTGTTGAATTTGGAGAACCTATCAAGTTTTTTTCATGTATAAGCTGTCAGATTTCAAGGTATTTTAAATTTCCTTACACGATGACTAATCACAATCTTTGAACTAATGACACTCATTACAGAATTTGTCATTGATATCCTTGTTTAGTGGTGTATTATGATTTTTATGTTAATCATTGTCAAT